CAAAAATGAGGTGAGAGAGAGAAGACACTGATCCATCTGAAATACCGAAAAGGAGAATAGATCAGTTCTCAAAATTCCTATCGAAAAGACCTGGAAAAGTAGGGCCCAAGTTCTTTCCTAACAAACATAAAATGTCATTTTGCGCTGATTTTTCAAACCCCAAAGACGTAGAATTAATTAAATCAACCAAATGCTCTCCCAGATAAAACTTGCAAATCTTCCCAAATCTCACAAAAGGAAAATGACTAGGAGAATATCACCACTAGTATTCCCAAATTCATGCAAGAAAACAGAATTTTCCCACCTTCGAATTAATCAATAGCCTCATATATCAAATAAGCATAAAATCTTTCCATAAAACCAAATAAATGCTCACGACCGGGGTTACTACAAAGAGATGAACAACAGGTAAGCCTCTCGGCCAGGGCAACAAAAAAAACGAGGGGGAGCTATTAAAGTTCACGGCTAAAGAAACCCAAGGCCAAAAGAGGCTCACGGTTAAAGGCAGCAGGGGACAGCTGCTAAAGCCTTCGACCAAAACAAAAGCTAAGTTTCAATAAACTCAACACCCAAATCTTCCCAAAATAAGAAACCGAGCCCACTCAAAGCCAAAACAGAGTCCAAGCATAGATTAAAACCCAAGCCTTAACGGAAATTAAAATTCCAGCCATCTTAAGGTAAAACCGAGCCAACCCAAGTTTTTTTTATCAAATTCCAGATTAGTTAAAGACCAGAACGAGCCAAGCAAGGCTAAAACCCTAACCCAACAAGGGTCGACAACCAAGCTGCAATTGAGACCTCCAACACTAAGCCACAATAAAAGTTAGAGCTATATTCTCATGCTTTTAAGACATCTCAAGATAGAACTACCACATGCTTTGAGTGAAAGTGGATGAAAGCTTCGTAATACACATACTAACATGCTCATGAGAAGGGCCAATTATTTCAAAACCACCCCCTTAATTACTTCCAACATAAGTATGCCTTGGGGGATAGAAAACATGCTATGACTTTAGTGCTTTAGATAAACAAAGTAAAAGAAAGGACTAATAGCATGCCAAATCCAACTTCTAGCATATATGCATATTTTTTTTCTTTCACATGCTTTGAGTGATAAACATTTTCAAATACAAGCATGGTGGCAACTAGAGTACTAAACCATACCTTGAAATCATCATCAGAGGCTCGACAAGGTTAAAACCGAGGGTCAGCAAAGCACAGAGAAAGGGAGGGAGAAGAAAATACACACCCTCAAGCTTTTAAATGTCACTCCCACACAATAAGTGTATAAAGAGTAAGTTAGAACATGTTTAGGAATGAGGCATATAGTAATCTCCCTATTCTAGCATGCTAACAGGACTTGACAGAGAACAGGGACGAGCACACATAAAGCACAGGGGCTCGGTAAAGAGCAGGGCCGAACGCAGACAACACACAGGGGGAGAGGGAAGAAGGTACCTCTTTGAAGCAAAAAGAAAGTAACACGGAAACTCTAAAAGCACTCTGGAACTTCACTTCCTCTCTCAACAGCAGGAGGAAACCGATTCAAGCACCAGAAGATCAAAGAAGTGAGTGAGAAAGAAAAAGAGCAGAGTTTTCTCCCTTAGAAAGATTTTCGGCCCCCTTGGATGCTTCACAGAGGAGCTCTCATATACATTAAGGGCAGAGGAGGCGAATGATTAAAACGATACGGCCGAGGGATCGAGAGATGCGGGGAATTAAGCCCTCGCAGAGGATACGATCCGCGACAGAGAAGATCAAACCCATATCTAGGGATTTTATGATAGGTTATTAATTATAATAATAATAATAATATATTATTTATTATAATTAACACTTAAATAGGTATTTTCCCCAAGACGTGCCGTCGCAATGAAACGAACGTCCCCTCTAAGCAAAATCGACGTTCCGGCGCATCGGCGCTGTCCGTTTCGTAATCCGAAGTCGTCCGGGCAATCTCGTCATCGACCGGGCTAAAAAAAAAACGCGTCGCAGTCCGAATAGTATAAAAATCTCGGCTTGAATTCTATTAAACAGGACGGCGAAGAGCGCAGCTGCGCTAAATCAACAAGTAAAGTCAATCCTAAGGTCGGCAGTCCTATAAGAATGCTTTCTGAGTTCCTTCAGAGTAGCCTTACCTGCTAGGCAATAGCGGTCAAAACTACTACATGGAACGGCAAGTCGAGCAAAGAAGAGTTCAGAATTGCTAACAGGATGGGCTCTTTCACTAGTTTTCTAGGAGTAGTCGACAGAAAGGTCTTACGGCTAGATTCTAGGCTTC